GACTTTTCTGGTGTTATAACGGCTTGATGCGGTAAGTAATGCACCAAACCCTCTTCTTCCTCTCCCACACTTACTATGATCCCTTGAGCTTCATACTCCTTAGAAACTCTATCGTATTCCTTTAACATTTTCGAATTCTACAATTTTACTAAAGTAGTCTTCAGCCTGCCCAAGGCAAATCCAAAACTCGACGGTAAGTCTGGCTCTCGACTTCTCCAAGATAGACTAACAACATATCTACCATATTCCACCTCCACCGTCTTCTCAAATTGTCCTTGTATCAAAGCGTCATCATTTTGATCAAGCTTCTCGGTTACACCAGTGGTTTCCAAGTCCCAGAAACGCTCCACATCATTCTTTTCACCCGCTGCTGAACACACTGTTATTGTTTTTGTCTGGATTGTCGGATCATCTCTATTTCCATGAATTTCTCCTCTTCTTCTAACGATTGGTCCCACTGTCGACGGCACTATGTAGAAACCTGATGGAAATTTCGCTGTCACTCCTGCCTGAATAAATTCAAAGTAGTGATCAGCACCAATAAGAACATCTTGATAATTCCACTTGCTCGTTTTCTCAATAACGTCCTCTATTGCTTTACCAGTTTCTATGGTTTGCAGCCGTTGTGTAAGATGTTTGATCATGTTCGCCTCCATCACCCGTACTTCATTATTCTGTCTTATCCCAATATTCAACTTTTTCGATCGATACGTTCTAGGTGAGCTAGCCCCAAATGCAACGATTGATAAAACCTCTTCTTGTACCTTACAACCAAGTTTTTTTGCTATTCTTTCCGTCACAAATGACCGTTGACTTCCTGTATCAAAGAATGCCAACGCTTTACAGAATCTTGCCGGATTTTCCGGATTGATGACCGCAATTCCCCGGCACATAAGTAAAATCGTTTGTTTTCCTTTCCGCTCGATTCCTGCTCCATTTCAGTTGTCCGCTGACTTCTATAGAAACTTTTTCACGTTAAATATAATCAGAAAGAAACTCAAAACTTAGATTTATCTAATTGGCAATGTAGGAAAATGGTGCAACATAAAACTTGCGCCCATGGTAACATGGTCCTAAAAGGAGGAATACTTCAGACGGAAAACTCACTGATCTTTGAATATCCCCTCCTAATTATCGGCAGTTTCTATGAAAAATTCATAGAAGCCATAAACTGTTACATGTTTGAAATAGTGACCGCAATTTTTGATGGTAAAATATTTTCGCGTGTAGGTGACATGGACAGCTGTTCATATGCTGAAGGTCACTGCGTATTTAAGGATAACACCACGCCAATTTGGAAACCTGACGCCAGAAAAAAATGCCACTTTGTGGTCTGGGTATTTCCTAGACAAAGTCTAGCTGACGAAATTGAAGGAATTTGCTTTATCATTCACAAATGTTGTAGCTATCATACTAGACTGCGGCCGCCAATTCTTTGTAAGCGATCAAGAATATGCGGAAAAAGTAGTGCTGTTTTTTAGATCTTGAAATTTCTTGCCAAGAGGGCAGATGCATTTTCAATGTATACAATAAGACCGTAGACTAACCATTCGCCGTAAATCACGGAGCGTATCCAGATAGTGACATGGACCAAACAGTGCAATGAGTCATATATCGCAACTACTTCGTCATGCACTTATATGCACTCTTCCAGAGAGATTCCATGACTGAGCTAGACGACTTACAGGTATCTATACTCTTAATTGGAAGACTTGATGGAAGAATCAGCAAACAGCATGTGCA